TAAAGTAAATATGAAAAACGTCTCTAGTGAGGAAAATATGATAATTCAAGAATGTTTTCTGAGACTATATAAAATTAAGATTTATTTATGTGTAGATTTATCTTTATTATTAAATTATTACGAACTCAAATATACTTCATTTTGGATTGGATATAATATCCTTTTCCAAAGATTATATTAGTCAGCAATTACCCATACCTTAGCTATACCACATCCCAGAATCATGTAGATTAATCCTAAAGCAACCTAACTAGCTATTAGCTTGCAGGTAATAGGCATCGCGAACGCCATTTTTTATATGGGGCAAGGGACAAACTTTTTTTAAATAATAAATAATAAAAATAAATAATGGCAGACAAAATTTTTTTTAATAATTTTATTTTTTAATTTATATTTTTTAGTTTATTTGAAAAGTTTAAAAATAGTAAGGGCATGACCCTCTCCCCCACTGTTGCCCCTTTCCCTGATTCAGAGGGCACACACGTAAAATCTCAGAATCAGATTCTTCGGCCCAAAATTTAGGTTTATGAATTTTTTCCAAAAAATCACATTCTGACACACTGTAAGGTAGGGTTCATTTCTTTTACGCGTTCTCTATATCTCTATATTCTTTTTTTATCCAACAAATTTTTGTAATAGAAAAAAAAATCATTTATAAAAATAGCTTGTTTTGCGTTAAAGTTTTGAGTCTCTTGCCCAGTCGCGTATTTTCAATTGACGCGAGATTTAACCCTGTTGTTATCTTTTTGTTTGATATTTTTGAACAATTTGCACTTTTAAAAATAATCGCTTAAAAAACAAACTTTCCTAACGGTTAGTTAAAAAGTTTACGATCCTAAATAATATCTAAAAAAGTTTTATGTTCAAAACATCTTGATGTTTTAAACATCAAACTTCTTGAGTGTTAAATAGATAAAGTAAAACTGATGCGTTAAAAATAGAAATAAGAAAATTTTGTAGCAAGTATATAATTAAATTATTAAAACATTGGGCAAATAAAAATCATTAAGTAAAAAGAAGTTAGTTAAAAAAAAAATTAGAATATAAAAATATTATGAAAAAATAGCTGTGTAATTTATTTAATATGCGTTTAAAAGAATTTGTCATTATAGTTTTAACTTGTAAAGTCACAATATATTCTTTGAACTCCGGCCTGTTTTTTATAAATTTACTTCTTTATGTAAATATTTCTTTGTAATTATTTTTCTTATTATATGAACAGCAAATAAATATAATATATATATATATATATATATATATATATATATATATATATATATATATATATATATATATATATATATATATATATATATAAAATATATATACTATATATATTTAAAAAAATATCTGATATTCATGAAACTTTTCCTCCGCACTTATACCAATTCGCAACTATGGCAGTTTTTTTAACTGGTTTGCACATATTTCAGTTCGCACATACCCCAATTTGAACTTATGGCGTTTTGTAGTTATGCTAATGTTTGCAAATTCTCTAGGCGCACTTATGACAGCCCGACGGGCATTTGTTTTTTAAAGTTACGTTCTAAATGTATTTTGAATGTTTTTTAAACGTCTTCTAAACATTCTTACGCAAAAAACGTTTAAAAGACATTTAAAATACATTTAGAACGTAACTTCTAAAAACAAATGCCCGTCGGGAGTTTGCGTTTATGTCAATGTTTGCAAATTCATATAACGCACTTATGCCAATTTTTTTTTTTTTTTTTTTTTTTTTTTTTTTTTTTTTTTTTTTTGTTCTTTATTACAATATTTAATACAATATTTACAAATATATAATAAGAAAAATTTACATGCAAAAAAATCGTTACAAAAAAATAAAGAATTAAGATAAAGAACGCGGATACTCAAAGAAGACCATACAGGTCTTGTCACCGAGAACCGCTGTTGAAGAACTTTGATCTTAGTTTAGATTTTAGGAAAAACAAAAATAAATAAACACAAGTTTTTAACTTTTTTAAGTTATGGTCTTTATGGCTGGAATTAAAGTACTAATTCTTCTGAACCGGATGATTCAAGCGAAAACAATAATATCATAGTATTCTTAATAAATAAATACGTCTCGTATCTGACTCGATCACTGACTCTTGTTACTCAAATCTATCAGTTACACTGATCTTAATTGTTATTTAATTAATAAATAAACGAAAATAATAAGAATATGATTGCACTAGGTACATCCAAATGCACTTCAAGATTGTCCAAAAGATTGTGTAGAAGAATTTAGATAGCCAAATGATGGTGTCATTGTGTGAGAAGCCATAATTATCAAATGTTGGTGCATTTACGTTAACGCTTTCGCCGACAAAAATGCTAAACCACTGTCAAAGGATGATTAACTTCCAAAAGTATCATACATACAATGTTTGCAGATACATCCAGTCACATACATCAAATTTTTTTTTGTATTTTTTTTTTTTTTGTATTTTTTTTTGTTTTTTTTTAATAATAATATATATATATTTTTTTTTTCATTACAAAATTAAGTTCAATATTAAAAGTATATACCGTTCGTAATACAAATTATTTACAAAATTACGAAATAAAATTAAAATTAAAGTAAACAAGTAAATAATAAATGCCTACTGTACAAATAGTGTCAGTGGAACTTTTAACAAAATTCAAATAATGATGTTTAACTACAGTTTCTGACATAAACTTTAAATCAATATTGTATAAAAGTAAAATATAAATGAGTGTTGACAAAACTGGGTAAAATTAAAAGTATATAAATATATTTTCAATTGAGAATATTACTTTTTTTAGTTTTCGTTTGAACATATAATAATTCCATTCATGAGAAAAATCAAAATTTTTTAAAATTATTTGGTTCCATAAAAAAGCTCCACGAAAAGAAATGCAAAATTTACCAAAGTTTGTTTGAAATTTTGGTTGTTTAATAAATTTATCATTTCTTAAAGAATAGTTTTTTTCTTTTAAAGAATATAAATCAAAAAAGCTGGAGAAGAGTTGGTTTTACATTTAAACATAAAACAAAGAACATTATAAACATTTACTTGATATATATTAAAAACATTCATGTTAAATAAAAGTGACCTTGAGTGAGTAAAACGATTTTTGAAATTTATAATACGTGCAATACGCTTCTGCTGACAATAAAGTGGGTTTAATTTACTTTTATAGTTACTACCCCATGGAATATTAGCATAATTAATATGACAGTGTATGAAAGAGTAATATAGTTGAGTTAGTGAATGTTTGTTTAAAACGCTTCTTGCTTTATATAAAACTCCAATGCTTTTTGCAATTTTGTTGCATAAATGTCCGATGTGATTCTTCCATGATAGATTTTCATCAACAATGATACCTAGAAAATTTGTGAAAACTACTCTTTCTATTTGAATATTATCAATATAAAGAAGAGGCATATTACTTGGAAGTAAATGTTTTTTAAATCGTGGATGAAAGAAAATCCATTTAGTTTTATCAATGATGAGTGAAAGTTTATTTAACTTAAACCAGTCAGATATTTTTATTAGTTCAATGTTCATATTATAAAAAAGTTTGTCGATGTTATTATTTGATAGGAATAGGTTTGTATCATCAGCAAACATTATAGTTGTTAATTTTGAGACTTTATGGAGATCGTTAACATAAATTAGAAATAATAAGGGCCCTAGTATAGATCCCTGTGGAACTCCACAGGTTATACTTAGATAATCTATATTTAAATAATCTTGTGAAGAAGATCCGTCGATATAGACAACTTGTTTGCAATGTTTTAAATAGCTTTTTAGTAGTTTTAAAGCATTACCGATGATACCATAATGTTCAAGTTTTTTAAACAGTATTTCATGGTCAATTGTGTTGAAAGCCTTAGATAAGTCTATAAAGACGCCTAAAGTGAACTCTGACTTTTTGAAAGAATCAGTTATACTACGAGTAAGATGAACTATTGCATGTTCAGTAGAGTTATTTCTTTTAAAACCATATTGGTTTATGTAAAGTATAATATTAATAGCAAGATGATTAGATATTTGATTAAACAAAATTCTTTCTAAAATTTTTGAAAAAACAGAGAGGATAGATATTGGTCGATAATTACTGACATTAGACGGTTCACCTCCTTTAAATACAGTTTTTATGCATATGCCAGTTTTTACAACTGCTTTGCACTTATGCCAATGTTTGCAAATTCTTTAAGCGCACTTATGCCAATTCGCAATTGTGTCAGTTTTTGTAGCTGTTTCGCACTTATGCCAATTCAAATGTTTGCAAATTTGTACGGCGCACGTATGCCAAATTTTGCAAATTCTTTTGGTGCAGTTATGCCAATTCACACATACGCCAGTTCGCATTTATGCTAGTTTTTGCAACGCTTCACACTTATGCCAGTTCTCACTTTTGAAATTCGCGCTTATGCAGCCTCCCGCATAAACTCTATGTCCTTTTTCTATTTAAACATCTATTTTATAAAAGCAATTTGAAGATCTGAACATATTATTATCATCAATTTGTTTTGAAATTAGCTTTATTGGAATTACAGAAACGAGGCTAAAAAAGTCTTCTTCCACACATCCGATTAGTATTCAAAACTGTAATTTTAAGCACACAACTGAATTTTCTTGTGGTGTTATACCTATCAAAAATAACTGATCTATAATAGAAGAGATAATAACGAGATATTGGGATATATCGTGCAGTGGTGGCGCACTTGCCTTAGAAACGAAGGATCCGTAGTTCCAACCCCACCTCTGGGCAAGTTTCGCGACATCGGTTAGGAAGGAGATGCGAACTTCCTAATAAATGCTTATCCGCGGTGCTCTGTAATAAGACCGTAAAGGCTTCTTAGGGCACTTAAATTTAAAAAACATGACCGTACTGTAGTGTAGTTTTTACAATACGAGATGTAATCTTTCTCTTTTTTAAAACATGAAATGCTACGCAAACATTTGTATTAATAACGCCGATTTTATAGTGATTATTAAAAAAAATCTTGAGCATATTATTTCAAAATATTAATAAATATATTGCTTATTTACTTTCTGTTAAAACAATATACAGAACTGCATCAAAAGCAAGTAAAATTTGCGACATCCAAGACGATCCAATAATATCCAAAAGTTTTTTTTAAAATAGTGTAATTTATATGGGTTTGATTTTAAAATGAAGCCCAATTAACGAAAATACTAAACACTTCAGATCTTGAACTAAGTAGTAAAAACATTTTAAACCTTCGATATCTCTAAAAAATAATTAATAAATTATAACATTATTTGCATTATCATATTCTTATCATAATACTAAAATTTATAACGTATATATACAAATAAAATGTTGAATGATGACAAAAAGTTTTAAAAATGTTAAAATTTTTTGATATAACACATTCTTTTGTGTATTTTAACAATAATTTACTTATTCATCAATACTATATATAAATAAAATAGATCTAAATTAGATATATTATTTTACAATTTTATTACTATAATTGATTTAAGTTCAAAGAACTATATAAATATTTACTGAAATTATTAAAAATAGAAAATTATATACTATAAATTTTATTGAATTCGAATTTAAAATGCACACACCTGCAAAATGCAAACGAGGTGTTCTTGTAATAGTAAAAACAGTTTTTAAAATGCAAATAAAAATTCTAGTGTTCAAGATTACTTCAATGTGCACTGAATATTTCGTTTATACTGGTGCAAACTATGGCAGAGTGAATAAAGCATGACGGAGAAAAAATAAATCGTACAACTGAGGTCATCTTTTTAATGGTATTTTAAACTTGATCTAATTCATCATTTTTAAAAAATGTCAAATTTTTTAAAAGCTAAATAACTTTAAAGTTATAAACTTGTATAAAAATATTAACAATTAATCTAAATTTTTTGAATCTCAAAAATTTTCAAAATTTTCAACTTTTTGAATTAATTTCAATACAAAATTTTTCAACAAAACATTACATAGAATATATATATATATATATATATATATATATATATATATATATATATATATATATATATATATATATATATAAATAAAAATACTTACAACACAAATCTTTATCTCTACACAACACATTTTTACACATCTTTACACAATCAACTATAAAAAAACCTCCACCTCCTTATCATGCACCAAAAGCTATCCCTTATTAATTATATCCAAATCTCTTTAATTATATATAAATTGCAACTTGAAGCTAAAATAGGATAATTCTAGCTTTAAGTAGCAATTTATATTTGGATAGCTCGATAGAAGCTAAGCAAAATGAAGAAAAGGTTTTACTAAGATAAGCCAAATACTTTTATACCGCCGCCTTAAGCAAAGGTGACACCTTAGGTTTTATCTCGCCGCCTTAAGCAAAGGTTCCATCTCGAACATTGGTTAAAATGAAACCATTATGTTAGGGCCATCAGTAATCAATTTAAGAGTGTGCAAAACCTTTTCAAGATTTTTTGGGATCCAAAACCTTTTCCATATAATATCGTATGTGCTTTAAACATTTTTTAAAATTATTCAGAAGCTAAAAAGCATACCCATAGCAGAAGCTAAAAAAATATGTTTTTTCTGACTTTTGTTCTAACTTCAAACAATATATTTTAAAAAATAATTATGCTATGCCTTTGAAATTTTTACCGCATGTTTTAATATATTAATTTAATATATCTATCTATGTTATTTACCAAAATCAATGTTGAATATAATTTTTTTTAGAATTTTTTATAATAAATTAGGGGAGATGACTTTAATTTGTAAGCTAATGATTTTATAAATTTTTATTACTAACTGTAAAAAAAGATCATTAAATCTAAATTAATAATATTAAAAGTCTAGACAGTAAATTTTTATAAATAAAAAAAACTTCTACGTTTAAGTCAGTTATGAACTATTAAATTTAAACAATTTTTATAGTATTAAGTTTTATTTTGTCCCAAACCTAACTAAGAGCCTCCTCAACCTATTTTACAAATATAGTATTTAGAATATACTATAGAATATACTATGTAGTTGTTATAGTATATTAAAAAACTTTATTTTCACAAGGTAAAAATAATGGAAAATTAGCTTACTTGGATTGGTTAACATCAATCAACGATCCAATTTTTGAAGTAGTAAAAGAAATATGCTCATCACCCATCACTATCTCTAGTTCCTTTTAGAAAGAATCCATTAATTACATAAATTACTTAAAAAACAAAACAAAACAAAAAAATAAAGCAATTGTTATAAATATGCATAAAAATAAATAAAACACACGTGCTTAAAAGCAAACAGAAACTTTCTTAAGTGCAAATCAATTAAATTGCAAAGGACGAGTGCAACAAAAAAATTTTGTAATACTTGTATAACAGCAAAATTGTTTAAGCATGAAATAGTTACAAAAACTTTCATAACAAGAATTTTGTTATGATGGTTAAAAAAAATATGTTAATATTTTTTACAAACATCAATGATCATAAATTTATTGGTAGACATTTTCCTAAGGTGGTTTTACCAGAGGGGTGGTGGATCGAAGTTGTTACTTCTCACTTATAAAGTGATTGCTCTAGACCACTACTGCTAAATATTTTTTTAATGGTAACTACTCTAATAAATACTCAACAAAACAAAATATTTTTTTACTATTGTTTGATTAAGCTACAATTAAAATAGCTAATAATTAAAATAAAAACTTTTAAAAACTGCTTAAATTCTTCAATTTTTACAAAGTTATGTTTAGTTCAGGTCATCAGCATTTAAGGTTTAGTACAAAGTTTGCTTTAAAAGCATCAGGTATTTTGCTGCAAAACATGTGTGTGTGTGTGTTCTGCTGAATGTTTTGCTTAGTTATTATTTTTGCAAGTAAAGCTTGGAATAAAAAAATTATTAATAGATTATAAGATAAATTGGAAAATTGTTATTTAAATGTATGTATAAAGTTATATAACTATGTGTATGTAAGTTATATAAGTATGTGTAATTTTTTTATGTGTTGTTATTAAGGTGCTTTAAAATATCCTTAGGTTCTTATCACAGAGCACAGTCGAAGAGCATTTATCAATTAAGTTCATGCCTCAGATTTTTTCGCTCTGAGCCGAAACTCTAACCACTGCGCCATGGGTTCTAAAAATGCATACAGCTACATGTATATACATGTATGTAAATACATGGTTGAGGATTTATATAGATGTGCGGTATTTATATACATGTGTAGATGTGACACATGCATACACATAGCTGTACATGCATATAAATATATTAGCTAGGTCTTTGAGTCTTTAATTAACAAAGTTATAAATTTTATCTTGAATTTAACAACTTTCTCTCTGGCAGTTCATATGGATTTTATCCTCTTATTTTACAGCAAACTTATTAACTATTAAAACAGAATGGAAGCAGAAAGGCAATGGCTATTGTTCTTCACAGGCTTATAGAATACACGATAGTTTAGCATGCTGGGCTTTTTTATAAACTTGCTTCATATGATGTATAAAAAAAATTTTAAATTATTGAATCATTCATAGAATGCCTCTATTTACTGTGCTCACATTTCCTTATTCTATAGATTCCATTATGTACCTCTATCTAAAATTTCTAATTTGTCTTTATACGGAATACTGTTGTCACATTTAGACTGGTTCTTTTAATGACGCTTTTTCACTTCTAGACAAGGTCAAAAACATTGTAAATGTAGTTAGGCCTGCTCTTGTTGCCAAGCTTTAAACATTTTGTCACTTTTTCTACAAATGAAAGCATAGTCATTGCTAACATATATGGGTGAGCTTACATATTTTGTTCTGAAACTAAAACAATCTGACATGATCAATTAATTTACATCAATTTACTGTAACTGTTCCTTTATGTTCAAAATAATTTTATTTATCTAGCTTTTCCCTCCCACATCAATGCTTTGGAATTCTCTTTTACGTGTAGAAGAGTTTTCTCAACTCAATTTAAAGTTTTTAAAGTTTTTCACCAACCATTTCATACTCGGTAACAATATTCTTTGTTTTCTGATAACTAGTGGTTGCTTGTTTCTTGTTGGAAGTATATTAATTAAAAGTTCAAACTTTTAATTTACGCATATTCACTTCTCCATAGAGCCACTATAGTCATGAAAGCTTTTTTTAACTTTTACTACAACCCTCTCATTAAGAATCTTATAATAAAAAGATATGTTATTTACTTTTACTACAACCCTCTCATTATCTGCATCTTAAAACAAAAATATTTATTTACTTCTTAACTTTTACTACAACCCTATTATTAAGATTCTTAAAACAAAAAGATTTGCTATTTAATTTTTAGCATGAGTTAGAAAAAAATTGGTTTTGCCTTGTAATGTCTTTAAAAATACCTTGTTGTACAAAAGTTTTATTAGCTGATTAACTATCGACAATACTGTTTTAAGGAAAAACAAGTTGAGAATGGTACAAGAAATAAGATTATATAATATTTTAGAAAATATGAACACGGCCATTTCCAAGTTTTATAATAATGCTGAAAAAGTTTCAAAAACAAAAAAAACAAAACTATTAAAATAAAAAGAGATTGAAATAGAAAAAAATAAAAACAAATTAAGAATTTAAATAATTTGTGTAATGTTTTTATTTTTGGTTATTTTAGTGAGTTGAGTTACATTCAGCAACAAAATTAGATAAAGATAAAACTTAAATTTGTTAGCGAAAAAATAAAAAATAAAACAATAAACTTACAATTACAAAAGTAATAACACTCAAGTCATTAACTGCATTACAAAAGTAATAACACTATAATAGTGTTATTACTTTTATAACACACTTATAACTTTTAAAACTCATTCTTTGTTCAAGCAACATTAGTATTCACAAATTTTAATTGAAGTAGAAAAATATCTAGAAGAATAAAGTGGATGTTCAAATAATATTAAAACTAAAGTAACTTATAAAAATGTGACAAACAACTTTATAAAAACGTATCGTATTAAAAGTTTAGCATTATGAAAACGTTACTAATAGACGCACGTTAATTTTAAAATTATCCAATAAATATTTTTTATTGGTTGATTTTAGAATTAACGCACGTTTTTACATAGCGTTTTTCATAATGCTATACTTTTTTATAACGTTGTTCAAGTGATATGTGAAAGTTCCTGAAATTTTTAATAATATTTGAATATCTGCTTTATTTTTTCTAGATGCTTTTCTACTTTAATTAATGTTTGGAATTAATATTGATGTTTGAACAAAGAATGAACTTTAAAAGTAATAAGCAGTCTGGTATGAGCATGATAAGAGAAGTGCTTTATAAATGTAATAACACTATTATAGTTTTATTACTTTATAATGCAGTTAGTGACTAAAGTGTTATTATTTTTGTAGTCTTAAGTTTATTGCTTTTGTTTTGTTTTTTGTAACTTTCTCGCTAGCAAACTTTTAATAATTTGCTTCTTATAAACAAAGTACACAGCTTTGCATGAACTAAAATTTAAAAGACCTAATATTTTACCAGATTTTGCAAATCGTGATCGTATAATTTTACTCTTGATATAAACTTGTTACATTATAAATATACAAATATATTTTACAAACAGATGATGATACATATTTTCTCTTTCCTCTTTAAAAGAAAAAACATATAAAATATGGGAAAGTCATCCTATTTAAAGAGACTATTAAGTCCCGAGACATGTTGTGTTTATATTAATGAGAATGTTAAAAAAAAACATCTGAGCAAATTTTTTTTGATTAAAACTAATTAATAAATGTATACCAAGAAAAACAAATCTTGTTGTTTTAGTCGAAGCTTGTCTTCTCTGTTTTCTCTGGTATTTTGAGTATGTAAAATAAACTCGATTTTCCAGGCGCATTATACAGACTTGATAATTTATTCAAGCGCGTTTAATTCACAAGAGTTTTAGAGCATGATGTCATTGAAAACATTCTAGAAATTCTTTAAAAATTTTACTATTGAATTTTACTCAAATAGCTAACTATAGTTACTTATTTTATTAAAAGTTTATATTATTAATTGTTCGTTAGTTTTTTACAAATCTAACGAACAATTAATTAAACCAAGCACTAAGAAAAGATATAAAAATTAAGAATATACTAATAAAATATATAATTTGTAATTAACTTTCAAAATTTTGACAGTTAAAAAAATATATATTATAAAACATTTATTTTTGTAAACAAATGATATTAGTTTAAAAGTTTTACGGCTTTACAGATGTGGCTCCGAGAATGAGCCATAATATTAAAGTAATAGTTCATTTGATAATATATTCTTAAAAAAATTTATGCTAGTTATCTCAAAACGCAACAAATCGTAAATAATACAATTCCTAAAACATTTCAACAGAATACTCTAGAACTTTATTTCGCTTAGTCAGCGTGTTTTTTGAATCAATAGAATTAGTTTGTTCGCAAATTTGGCGGGTTTTTAGTGTTCGCGAATATTCTTTTTATTCTTCCGCAAGATGTTTTAAGAAAATTTAAGTTAATTATTTTTCCATGTATGTCTGTAAAATAAAAATTTATATATATAATAATTTTTTAATTTTTAAGCCCCCGCATAATATATATTAAATGTTATAATGGAAATATAAATAATGAAATAAAATCACCTCAGTACTAAAAAATACATTTTTGAAATTCAGAGAAAAAATGCGTTAATAATTTTTTTTTTTTAATCTTTACAAAGTAAATTAATAAAAGTGCATTATTATTTAGGTTAAAAATTATTTTATCTAATATTTTGAAAGAAAAACTTATAACAAAAGAAATCAAAATACACGTGGCCTAGACGATTATTTAAAAAAAGTTGCGCAAATAAAATACTATTTTGTTTTTATTTTATTTTTGTTTTTAATTTTATTTTGTTTTTAATTTTGCTTTACGAACACATTTTAGAACTTTAAAATATAATAAAAATGAATATGATTTGGAAATTGAATAAATTATCAAGTCTGTATAATGCGCCTGGAAAATCGCGTTTATTTTACATACTCAAAATACCAGAGAAAACAAGCTTCGACTAAAACAACAAGATTTGTTTTTCTTGGTATACATATTAGTTTTAACCAAAAAAATTTGCTCAGACGTTTTTTTTAACATTCTCTTTAATATGAACACAACATGTCTCGAGACTTGGTAGTCCCTTTAATGCCTAAAACCGTTTATTTTTTTTCCCTTTGACTTACTGAATTTTGTTGCTGATAATAATAACCACTAAGAAAAAACAACACACAAATTATTTAAACTAATATTATTGTTTTTTATTTAAGTTTACTTTAATTTCTTATGTAGTTATTTTAAAACAGTTTTTCAGCAACACATATGATAAAACATGTGCAAACGGCCGTGATCACGTTCTCTAACTGGAAAAACGTTTTCGTGGTCATACGAGACAAAAAACCGCACGCCTTTCCTGGGAAGGCTTGCAATGGATAGAGCAATAAAATTTTCTTCCTTAAACAAAAGGTAAAACTAAAACTTGAATTCTTACTCAATAAATCAACTTTTTTTTTTTAAATAGCTTAAATCAACTAAAAAAATTTTTAATTATTTGGAATTTATGCTAATAAATATTTTTCAATATTTAGTTTTTATCGTAAAGAAAGTCCACTCACATAAAAATGTGGAAAAATTTGACTGTTTATCAATATTAAATCAACAATCTTAAAAATATTCTAGCACAAACCTGACGTCCAACTCTGTCTGGTGTCGGCCATAATGCATCATCTTCTTTCAGAAGCTAAAACATTAACTTTGTGATGATGATAACATAAAAAATGCAATGTAATAATGACAATTTAAAGATTTTGCAAATAACTGATAACTAAAAAACTTACCTCACTATCATCAATTATGCGCTTTACTTCTTCAAGAACACTTTTGGAGCAATAAACCTAGACGAATTACAAACTTAAAGAGATAGCTATCTACTTTAACAAGTTTCTTTTATTTGAAAGAGAATAATAAAAAAAAGTGAATTGTTCTTATAATACTAAAAGTCTACAAATCAAACAAACTAAAATCTGAAATAAAACTAAAATTCTCTATACAAATTTTTTCCCCCCTAAAACGCGTATTTGCAAACATATCCTCTCAAAAACTTGTAACATTAAAAAGTAAAATCTTATAAGTGATTTATAAAATTAAAAATGTTTGATAACAATAATTAGGTGATAAAAATATTAAAAAAAAAATACTTGCTGCAAAAATTTTAAGACAAGGACAATTTTTTATTTGTCAATAATATTCAAAGTATTTTTGAGTTGTTTTTGTCTAATTTCTAAAAATTTTATTTTAAAATAAAATCATAGATCATCGAGGTCATATTTTAAAAATCCGGAAAATTGATAGGGTAAAATATCTGGAAAAATCCGGAATATATTTTCCTCTTATTTGGACTTCTAGAAAAAGATAATCCCTGTAATACAGGGTAATTCCGTGTAAAAACATCGAGCTTTTTTCAGAAAATGAAACCCTTAGATTTTGCTGCTTTTTATACCACTAAAAGATTTTAATAAATTATGAACACCCCTAAAATTCCATTATCTAATTACACCTGGTTCAAAAGATATATAATTTTTTAACTGCGACTTGAACGAAAAAAATTATTTAACTCAACTGTTTTGTGACCAATAGAAATCCCAAAATATATATTTTACATATTTTGGGGTAAAAACTAACTCAAAATAAACATATCTAAAATTTTAACATTAATCATATTATAAAAATAAAAATACCTAAAATTTTAAACAATCATCATTATTGATCTTATCTACAATGAATTTATGAGGTAGTGGAAAAAGTTCAGAGTTAGATCTCCACCATGACCCTGGTAGTGCTTAACTAATTTCTCTGCACAGTAGCCTTGTTTGTCAAGGTTCATGTTTCGGAGTTATAGAGTTGAAAGAGGGTTGTAACCACAATTATAGTAGCCTCCTTGACTGTAGTGGCATTCTCAGCCTTAGGGAGGTGAATTAACATTAAAAAAATAATAGTAATTCTAGGGTGAGTTGTATTAAAATAATACTGATACAGATTCAATTGTTTTTTGCATTAGTTGCTGTGAATAATTCAAAGTTATTACGCTATGGAATTATTACTACATTTATTCTATGGTTATTATTCAATCATTTGACTATAGTACTCAATGGTAGTAAATTCTAGTCCCGAAATAGTTTTTCCATATCAAATCATTACTTTAATTGTTCTCAACATGCTGTTTCTGTTTCCTTGGAAATTTTATAAATTGTAACTGTGTTTATATTGGCTATACAAAACTCAAGAATATATATATATATATATATATATATATATATATATATATATATATATATATATATATATATATATATATATATATATATATATATATATATATTTCTTACGAAGATATATACTTCATGATTAAAAATATAACATTCTCATTTTGCTATTAGAGGATGGTATAATGAATGAAGTTAAAGTACAACATAATGCAAATTTAACTATGATATATGCAAGAATTCAAAGTATTCTTTCCATAGCAATCAACTCTTATCAAAGCCGTTTAGTGTGTGTTAGAAGACAATATCAGACAATATTTTTCATATTTGAAAAAAGACTTTTGTAATGTATGCTCTATAATCTCTAACAAGATGTTAATTATGAAGTAGCAGGACTAAAGACAAAAAAAAAAATTGGTTAATTTGAGGAGGATTGAAGACCCAAGTCTTATAAAAAGGCAAAATATTGTTGGTTTGTGACTAAAATATGTATATTTTTGAAACCAGCCTAATTAGATAGCAATTTTTAGGGAAAATCAAAATTTGTTAAAATCTTTGAGTGGAGTAAAAAATAGCAGATTCTAAGACAAGGATTGAATGCTCTATATTTTTTCTATAAAATTATTATTAATTAAATTTTTGATAAAAAAAGTTAAAATAAATTTTAAAACTATATCGACTTAAAAAATTCATTTTAACAACTCTAATATTCTTTTAACTTGATAAGAATAGTTTTCATTATAAGAATGCATGTTACTATTTAAAGTTTTAGTTTAAAATAATTAGGGTTTCCAATAAGTTTTAACACATAACCAAAAACCACGTTTTTTTTTGTCAAAACAGGTATAAATGAAAACCGTCAGTTTTCAAAAACGTATGTTTTTTGAATGTTTATTTATTATAGAAAGGTATAAAAAATCAAATTTGTAAGTAATTAAATTTTTATTTTATTATTTAAATTGTATTTTGCTTGAAGGCTTAAAATGTCTTTTCATTGTTAAAATTATTCAAGCATTCCAAAAAAAAAAAGTTTAAATATCGAATAAAAAACGTAAATATATTTTAATATAAAGTATTCAAATACTCAAATAGAACGGCCTATTCTATATATCAAAGATTTTTATTCCTTAAAAAAACATACTGATATTTTGTGTTTATTTTGGTTCAACAAAATATTAATGTATAGGTATGCAATAAAAATAATTCACAATATTTCTATCCAAGCTTGGTCGGGAAGCGGGAGTGATCGCTCTAGATTACTGACCACGGAAATAATATTTAGTTGCTAAAAACTGGCCAGATTTTTTAGTCATTTTTAGAACATTTCAAAAAACAAAAAACAAAAAAAAGCCCAAAAAAGATTAATTGGATAGATGAGAAATAATTACAAAAAAAAAAAAAAAAAAAAAAAAAAAAAAAAACTATGAAAAGAGAATAACTTTTAAAGCAAAAAAACTTAAAACAACATTTTTATAAAATTAAGCGACATTTGTATAAAGTAACATCTTACAATTGCTTAATAAGGAAACAAATGTTCTTTTATTTATCAAAGAGTATAATATAATTTTTATTTATATACTCGTGTCTTATTTCCAGTGCTGGATTAAGGAGGGTTGGGGTTAAAGGGGGCTATAGCCCTTTAACCCCAACCCTTTTTTTTGGTCAGTTTTACGCTGTAACACATAAAAAGACCTCCAAAATCAAAATAGCCCTGGCCCCTAAAAGTCCAACAAGATTCTTAATAAGGAAACAAATGTTCTTTTATTTATCAAAGAGTATAATACAATTTTTATTCCTTAATCAAACTAACACTTTTAGTTTTTATTTAGGCTAAATTATTTTATAAATCAAAAAGTTAATTTTTTTAATAACTATTTTATGCTTCACGTAGTTTGAAAAATTTAACATATTTGAAACAATACTTCTTAGTAAAATGAACAAATGAAATAATTAAATCATTGAGTTACTGTAGAAATTAAATTAACTAGATAGAAATCAACTAAAAAGGTTAACAATACTTTATGAAGAAGCGGAATAGCTTCACAATACCACTGATGATGTTTAGTGAGCGGGCTTTTTAATTTTAATTAGTATTTAAAAAAGAAAAAAGTAACTTTAAGAATAACGAGTTTGAAAAAATGGCAACTGAAGCAAAAATAATTAGAGTTAGTAAACCAATAATAAGAACATAAAAACTTTTCTTTATATCTAATAACTCTCTCTCTCTGAGTAATTTCATTGAAAACTTTTATTATTGTTTTATTATTGTTGAAAGTCTTTTTGTTTACAAAATAAATTATAAAAATTGCTTTAAAAGAATACATTAGAATAAAAAACAGATACACAAAATTACATTTACATACAAAATACATACTTTTTAAATAAAAAATAAAATTATACTAATAAAATCTATAATATATAATAAACTTTCAAAACTTTGACAATTTAAAAAATATATATTTAAAATATTTATTTTTGTAAACAAATAATAATAGTTTATAAGATTTACGGCTTTGCAGACGTGGCTCCAAGAATGAGCCATAGCATTTAAGTAATAGTTCGTTTGATAATATATTCTTAAAACAATTTATGCTAGAAATCTCAAAACTTAACAAATCTTGAATAATACAATTTTTAAAAACATTTCAACAGAATACTCTAGAACATTATTTCGCTTAGTCAGCGTATTTTTTAAACTAATAGAATTAGTTTGTTCGTAGATTTGGCCAGTTTTTAGTGTTTTTTTTTTTTTTTTTTTTTTTTTTTTTTTTTTTTTTTTTTTTTTTTTACATTATTCACCTCCCCAAGGCCCAAGGGGGCCACTACAGTCGAGGAGGCTACTCATTTTTTTGTGTTTTTTATTTTTTTGTTGTATTTCATGGTACAACCCTCTCTCAACTCTTTAACTCCGAAACACGAACCTTGACAAGCAAGGCCGCTGCGCGGAGAAACTAAGTTGAGCGCGGTACTTCCAGGGACGTGGTGGGAGTCAAACTCCGAACCTCTCGCTTACAAAGCGAGCGCTCTTACCACTACACCACTGCCGCATAAAAGTTTAGGAATATTCTTTTTATTCTACCGCACCAAGATGTTTTGAGAACATTCAAGTTTATGTATGTTTCCATGCATGTCTGTAAAACAAAAATTTTTTGTTTTACGGAAATTTTTTTTGTTTTAAACTTGAATATTCTCAAAACATCTAAAAAGCCAGTTTTTCACAACTAAATATTATTTCCATGGTCAGTTATCGAGAGCGATCGCTCCGGTTTCTAAACCAAGTCTGTCTATCAATTATTTAATTTTTTGAAAATATATTTATCTTCCAGATAAATCATGCCATTAGTTTGGAAATTTGTTGCACGGCGTAAAACTCTAAATTCAAGATGTTGAAGGCATCTGTAAAATATGTGGTTTTATTGTAAGGTGGTCAGGTGGATCCACAACAACTTTGTGGAATCATATTTTGCATCATGAAATTATTATCAATACCCCTTCAACACTCGAATTTGATTGTCAAAAATATGAAAAAGGAATAGTGTCGCAAATTGTCGCATAATTGATTGTCGAATATCAGAATAAGGAATAATGTCGCAAATGAATTTAATGAATAGTGTAGAAAATAGAAAAACGAA